GAGCAAGGTCACGAACATGAGGAGCATGTCAACCGCGCTTCCTCATTCAACGGCGACATCTCCAAGTGGGACGTGAGCAAGGTAACCAACATGGAGAGAATGTTTCCTCGACATCTGCTTTCAACGGCGACATCTCGAACTGGGACGTGAGCAGCGTCACGGACATGGCGTACATGTTCAGCGCTTCCTCTTTCAACGGCGACATCTCCAAGTGGGACGTGAGCAAGGTCACAAACATGTACAACATGTTCCTGTTCGCTTTCGCTTTCAACGGTGACATCTCCAAGTGGGACACGAGCAAGGTCATCCAGATGGGGGGCATGTTCTACAACGCCAAGGCTTTCAACGGCGACATCTCCAAGTGGGACGTGAGCAAGGTCACCAACATGGGGAGCATGTTCAGCGCTTCCTCTTTCAACGGCGACATCTCCAAGTGGGACACGAGCAAGGTCACGAACATGAGGAGCATGTTCAACGGCGCTTCCTCATTCAACGGCGACATCTCCAAGTGGGACGTGAGCAAGGTCACGAACATGAGGACCATGTTCAACGGCGCTTCCTCATTCAACGGCGACATCTCCAAGTGGGACGTGAGCAAGGTCACGAAGATGCAGAGAATGTTCTTCAACGCCAAGGCTTTCAACGGCGACATCTCCAAGTGGGACACGAGCAAGGTCACGGACACGGCGTACATGTTTTATGGCGCTCGGACTTTCAACGGCGACATCTCGCGCTGGAATCTCTGCACCGTGAGGTCTAGTGATAAGATGTTCCATATGACAGCGCTTTCCGAGGATCACAAGGCGCATCCAGGAGAGTGTGAACTATGACGCAGATCGTGACAGAGATCGCCCCATCCTTCCTTCAGACGTTTCTCGCAAACGCGTCCCTCGTGGATGTGCCGCGCTCGTGGTGGTGAGATGCGAAATCCCCCCGCCCCGCGTTATCGCGCGACGGAATCAGAGAGATCAAACAGTCTGCGCGTGGGCGGCGATGCGGGAACTTGCGTTCGCGTGGCGTGGATACGATCCGTGATCTACCCTATCCGGGTTGGTGTATACACGAGCGGCGGCGGCTGCGGCGAGCGGCGGCGCGTTTGTTTGTCCGAGGGGTAAGGGCAACGACTAGGGTTCGTGCGTTAAATTGTGTAACCTCCTTTCTCGGTCGGTCGGGCAGAACGGGGGCTATGGGGGCTATTTTATTGTACAGTAATCAGCGGCTGCTGGCGCGGCGCGTATAGGGTGAAATTCACCGGGCGGGTGACGGCGTTCATCGCGGGCACGCGCCATTTTGGGTTCGTTGACCGATGAAAACCTTTCAAGTCGCGCCGTTCATAGAATACATATCTTGAAACGCAAATGAGACCAAAACATACCACCATCCTTCTAACGAGGGTGTTGAAATGTTCTCATAGGAGCCGACTCCACAATTTTTTTCGCGAGGTCTGCCTCAAGGGGCTACACGGATGTTTGTGAGGATTTGGAGACCCGAACCCTATGCTTCAAGAGAGACCCTCCTTTTGATGTCGAAAACAGAAGAAAAGAGGTCTTCGAAAAAACAATATATAAAATGTAAATAATTCCTTTGTTTCTTCGTGAAAATAGTTCCAAGGTAGTCTTATTTATACTTTTTATCCTTATATGTTTGGTCTAAAATAGGACTGAAACAGGTGTCGAAATGTCGCTGCTCCAGGGACTCGTGATTTCCGTCAGCCCCTGTGGTTCAAAACATACCCTTAGAAAAAGTATAAACTACGATCACTACTTAAATTATTATTGAAAAAAAAATATAACTTTATATAGTAACTACTATTGTGGATAATAATAAAATTTCGAGGGTAGTCATAATTTATACTTTTTATCCATATATGACTGGTCTAAATCAGGTGTCGAAAACAGAGGATTTGGTCGTTTCGCTCCAGATACGCCCCCAGAGACTCGTGATTTCCGTCAGCCTTTGTGCTTCAAAACAGACCCCAGATCCTGAGAAAAAGTATAAACTACGATCACTACTTAACTTATTATTGAAAAAGTATTATAAACTTTATAACTTTATAAACAATTCTTGTGTACAAGAAAAATAGTTTGGGGGTAGTCATTATTTATACCTTTTACGCATATGTGTGTGGTCTAAAATAGGACTGGAACATGTGTCGAAAACAGAGAATTGGGTCGCTTCGCTCCAGATACGCCCCCAGAGACTCGTGATTTCCGTCAGCCTTTGTGCTTCAAAACAGACCCCGGATCCCGAGAAAAAGTATAAACTACGATCACTACTTAACTTATTATTGAAAAAATGTTATAACATTATAACCTTTATAAACAATTCTTGTGTATAAGAAAAATAGTTCGGGGGTAGTCATTATTTATACTTTTTATCCATGAAAGTTTTTAAAAAAGTCTACGACGACAAAATCGTGCTCCACGCGGATCGTTCCACCGGCGCGATCGGGGATGTTCCTTTGCGATTCAAGTGGAGCCTGAAACCCGAATCTGTGAGAAGAAGTGTCTGGACGGATCCTAAGTGCAATCCCGCAACTACTAATTATTGTCCGCACGTTTACATCAAACCGCAGACCGAGCAGGAGAAGGAGTCGGTGAGGAAATTGGAGGCATTTGTGTCTTCGCAACCTCGCAAACATACGCTGCGAATCCCACGAGAATTCTTCCTTGCAGATTGCCCTTGGGCTTGGGAGTACATTTTCAACGTCGTCGCGTACAACAAAGAAGGTCACGACGTGGATCGCGGCGCGGTCGACCCTTATACCGGTCAACTTGTGCATGATCCTCACGCGGACACCGCAACGGCGACTATAAATATCTTCCCAGGTGGTTCGTGCGATGAAAGAAGTGTGCCATCATCGCCGAAGCTTGTTTTCAGGTATGGGCCTCACAATCCTCACAGCATAGCAATAGATTCTCCGCCCGCGATCTTCACCCCCGCGTCATTGCGCAAATCATTTACTCAGTTGGCACTCGTGCGCGAATGGACGTACGACCGCCGATGGAAATACTCCGACCTCCCCGAGTGCAATCCCCCAGTGTCGGTGACGTGGGCGGTGAAGCCAGAGTACAACTCCGAAATGTACGCTACGTTCCCCAAGTCCCGCGTCGCGGGATGGCCCACCCCTACGGGATTGCACCCTGAAGTCGTCGCGCAGGAGGCAAAGCTGCAGAAAATCGTCGCTGCGACGCGGGGGATGGTGTCCGGCCGCCTATCACGGACACTTTTCTTCGCCGCCCGGCAGTACCACTTCACTTCAAACTACTCGATATTTTTCAACGACACGTGGCACAACGACACGGTGTATGACGTGCACGGCTTCCCAGGGCGTGTCATGCGAGCGGGTTATGCGGGTATAAAATCGATCATCGTCGGTGGCATGGGCGGAGACCCCATGACGGACTACTTCAAGCCAATCGACGCGAACGGCGGTGATTTTTCGTACTCACCCGTAACGTTCGACGCGTCTTCGTTGTATCCTTCGGTCTCGCGTGCGAACACCGGTGCTTTCATCGTCGATAAAACCGAGGAGGTGAACGTCACGACCGCGCCTTTGCGATTCGTCGATCCGGACTGGCGAACGGACACCCACGCGCTCAGACACGACTGGACGTGCGAGGATTTACTCGCGGACCGCCCGACGTGCCACCTCCGCGGCATGACGAAGAAACTCAAGGACATGTATGGAATATTCGTGGTCGACGACATACCCAGTGGGAGCCCGCTGACGTTGCCACCAAACACGATGGGACCGAATTCGGCGTACACGTTCACGATGCTGACGTCCAAGACTCACCGCTCGTCGAGAGGGCCTGATAAGGTTCAGCTCGTGACGGGGAACAACACGTGCCCGAGCGCGAACATCGAGCCGACGCCGAAGTCGATCAACCATCAATTCTTGTTTCGGATCTACGGCGACGGAGTAAGCGCTTTAGGCCGCGTGCAGTTCAGGTGGAGCATCGTGGACACGAGCCCGGCGACCGCGACGACGCTCGCCGTTCCCGTGTACACGCACTGGCAAGACAAGGGGTACATGTCGATCGTCAAAAATACGATGAACCCCGGCCGCGAGTACACGCTCACGCTGACCACGCGCGTCGCCGGCGTGGATAACGGATGCGAAGGACAATCGGAGAGAATCCTGGTGACGAACGCGCCGCCTCGGTCCGTGGGCGAAGGCGTCGTCGTCGAACCCGCGATCGACGGGATTGAATTTGAAACTAAATTCTCCGTCGATTGCGGCGAATGGGTCGACGCGGATAAAACGCTCGAGTATCGCCTCGCGTACTGGTACGACTACGACGTCTTCGCCCCGCGTTGGATGTGGCTCACAGAGCTTCAGGAAGGTCACGCTGTTTTCGAAGACGTCTTGCTCCCTCACAATCGACGCGCTGGTGGACGCACGAAGATTCGATGCGTCGCGTTCGACGACGAGGGCGCGTTCGGAACCTCGGTCACCACCGTGAAGGTCGCCGCGCACGCGAACATCTCCGCGGCGGTCGACGACGTATTCGTCATCGGTTCGCACCTCGAGCACCTCCACGTCTTCCCGGCCGCGTTGCGTAGGCTGCAGGAAGTGGATAAGCTGCGACACGCGGTGGCGGCGCAACGGCGCCGCCGCGCGCTCTTGGGCGAGAACATCGAACCGTCGTCGCCGTCCCCTCCTAGTCCGTCCGTGGGGACCGAGTTGAAAAAGGCGCTAGACGTCGTTCGAGGCGTCCTGGCGAGGTGCAACGGCGGCATCTCCGAGGACATCATCGAGACGGTGCTCGAGCTATCAGACACGTACCTCACGACGAGCTGTGAATTCGCGTCGTTCGACCCCGGCCGAGCGTCGAGAGACGTCCCGATCCAAGCGCTCTTGCCCGTCGTCACTCGCGTCGCGCACGACTGGCCTGTCGAGCAACGAAAGTACGCCGCAGCGGCGTCGCGCGTGAACATCAACGCGAGTCCAGAGTCGAACGCGGAGAGCGACGAAGACTGGGCTCGCCTCGCCTCGGCGTACGCCGCCGCGGCGCGTCTCGTGTCCCACCGGAGTTCCGGCGTCGACTCGGTGAAGATGCTGCGTGGCGCCGCCGCCGCGGCTGTCGCAAACGAAGAAACGTGCGACGCGCCTGTCACGACGCGAACGATCGCCATGCGCGGCGGGGGCGGTGGGAAGCGTAGGACGCTGTATTCCCGCGCGACCTTTTCAGGCACCGTCGCGGCGTACAACGAAAAGCTCTCCGGGGGCGCGTCGGAGTCGTCGTCCGAGTGGCCGAGCCACATTCCGACGTTCAGCGTTTCCGGTGCCTTTCGTTCGACGCGCGACAACGAAGCCGGCGCGGCGCCGACTATCATCAAATCCGACGAGTGCGTCACGTTCAGCGTCGGCGCGATTCCGTCGAGGGCGTTCGAGACCGCCGACGTCGACGTCATCATCGTGAGCCCGGTCGTCGCCGTCATACACGTGGTGGATCAGTTCCTCGGTCAACTGAGCGATCTAAATCCTCACGGGGTACGAGACGTCGTCGCGACCGCGCGACTCGCGTTCCACGGAGGGCGCTTCCTTCGAAACGAGAAAGTGTTCGTCGCGAAGAACGCCACGTCAATCCGCTCGCGCATGTACTGCGCGCACATGCGAACGACCGCGACGGACGGCTCGGACGTCGCCGTCGAGTCGCCTGCGTTTACCGGCGGCGTTTCCGTCGCCGCTCCCGCGTGCGTGCTTCTCGACGCCGTCGAAGGGTACGATTACGATTGCGTTTGCGACCAAGTCGGAGCCGTCGCGCTAGCGGTGGCCGGGCCGTTCGACGAATCCGAGTGGACCGTTCACGAGTGCGAAGGC